GGAACCCAGAGATCATGGTCACTGGTGGTTAGCTCCACTAAGCGATATGGCTGGGTGTCGCAAACAGCGGCGCTCATGCATCTACTCATTATTGCTGTAACTTCAGTCTATGAAAATGTGCTATCTTCCGCTTAAATCTGCTCTCAAGATTCTAACCATCATTCTGCTAATTTATCCGAATAGGCAACCAAAACGGCCCACGAAAGTGAATGGTTAACGTTTGTAAAAACTGAACTTCGAAAACAGTCTGGTGGACTGCATATTTGGTACGAATACGGGATTGATCTCCATTCGACTAGGGCTTTGTTAGTGGAGTAGGATTATGGCATTCTCAAGCCCTTCCCAAAGCCCTCTCTGAAGTCTTATTGCCTGATGCACATATCAGTTTTAGATAGCAAGATAACACAGCACCTATGACCTTGATAATGCTGATCCGCGAAAGAGGGAAGTTATTGATACTACTGAATTTAATCAATTCTTGGATTGTGATATATCCGTTCACTGTGATCAACTGACTCACTCAACGTTGCCTAGGTTATCTGTTGCCCTTTAGAATCTATTCATACCATCCCTACTAGATGTTCCTCTCCTCACTTGAAAACCTTCGGGATACAAAAAGCACTGGCCTACCAACCAGACGAGTGACTGATAGTGAAAAGAATACGTGCATTAATCGTGTCCGAAACCAACAAACTTAACTGACTATACTCCAATAGCCTGTTCAGCACCCTGAGTTTTCGCCAACTGTAGAATAGTCCAAAGAAAATGCCGCATGAAATCCATAGCTTCCAAGTCCCGCTTTACAGCAACGAGACTGAGTCACATATTCAACGTCACATGGTTCATGTTTGTCGTAGTGCTTTCTGAGACTTTACTCACAATTGTGAGTGGTTCGCAAAAAGATGCCATTGGTGGTTTTTTCAGTGGTCAAAAGTGGACAAAACCTATTGGAGCGAATGGCTGCTGTTCCGAATGCGCATCTAATAGTGAACAGTGTCATTAACTATCCTCCCTCTTCGTGTGTGTTTGTGTGTGTGAATTCTTGGGACTTGTTCTCAATGAGATACTTAATTGTATGAATGCCAGTTTACCGATACCCTGATCGTTATTCATAATAAACAGCAGTACTTGGTTATGTTTGTAGTTCCCATTTGAACAGATCAAACCGCACTTGAACATTGATAATGAATAGATAAATTATTCGATCCAGATACATCATCTGTACTCAACAGACGCAATCAGTAATCGACTGGACTATTTTCATAGGACTTATTTACTTCGAATTATTTTACTTTACTGAGACTGTCTCCCTGGAAAGGATAAGCCAGCTCCAGATATGATCATGATCATGAGGTTCCTTGGGAGTTTGATACGAGAGACGTCTCCAGCGTCACCTGGTTACTTTTAATTGGTGGGACTGAATAGACTCCAGCCAATACCAATGGATCCAACTTCAATTAATGATCCAGAATACACATACACCGTGAAGAGCTTAAAGAGTATTATGCATAATGTTCACTGAGGTGCTCGATCGTTTCACGACACACAGTGTAGCTGAGACAATGCCAAAAGTATTTTCAGCCAATTAGAAAAGTAGAAATTCGCTTGCTTTGTATGATATTTCAGCTTCACTTCTGACAAATGCATGCACGAACATTGATCATTTTCAACACAAGCACCTTTCCAATGCCGTAGGCTAGTTATTCGAAGATGTTTGTTTAACATTGCCACCGCGATGTATGCTATCGATAGTGCATAACGGCTGGGTAAAGAAACCCAGGATACATATATGCATTCATTGCAAACTTCCGCTTCCATTCCTAACAGGGATTTCACGATCTATGCGGTTTCCGGTTTCAATAACAAAATGGATCGTCTCATACAGTTGCTCGCGGAAACAGTGTTACGCGCCAAAATCACAGCGGAAGAAGTGGAGATGGCCGAACGAAGTATTCGTTTCGAGCTGCAGGCCCTGGAACGTTCACCACCGGTCGAACCCATCCTGATGGAGTTAGTGCATGCGGCTGCTTTTCGTGGGAATAGCACACTGGGCTTGCCGCGCTACTGTCCACAGGAGAATTTGGGTGTGATTAATCGAGATCATATCATCAATTTTTTGGCTACTTACTATCGGTATGGAACCCCCCCCCCCGGATA